AAAATGTGCACATATTGCTTCTTTCTATGTTTGTCACAGTAAATACTTCTGACAGATGTTTCCTCTCTTTTCAAACATGCTAGGAGGTACTTGAGCCTTAGTAATTTAAAAATAGACATTAAATGCAGTTATATATTGTAAATAAGATCCACTGAGAATACAGCACTGTACAACGAAAAAAGCAAACTGTTACTTGATTAACTATCTTTCAAGCCTAAGCGATATCAATAGAGTCAATCCATCTCTTTTCTTAATGTAAAAATAACTTTCTATATGGGTTAGAATGCCCTTAGCTTCAGATACCTTTAAGGAATGTGAATCCCTGGGACCCATAATTCATAGGAAATGTTCACTGTATGTTATTTAACTACTTATAAAATACCTACTACCTTTAGTTAGAATATGGAAGCATTAGGTTTCTTTGAGTTAAAAAATGACCTTTAAAAACAGTACAAATAATTTGTTTTTACCACTGTTAAGGTTATGTTTGAACAGTTGTAACAACAGATCTCCTATGTGCTTCAAGAAGAATTTTTTAAAACTTAGATAAGACTTTTAGTCATGAAAACTCTGGAATGATCTTATATAAACTCATCTGCAAAGCTCTAAATGTCTTCAGTTTTGCTGTGTTCAACCTAACCTCTAATTAACTTTTATATGCAAAATAAATTTATGTATCAGTAACGTAGATATAACATTAAGATTCTGGTTTGCAGTTCTCAAAGAACCCTTTGAAATTAGGACAACCCCCACCTCCCTCAAAAAACAGCAATAGTGGTGAGCGACATAGTGTTTCTTTAGAACAGTGTAAGCTCACTTTTGTGACTTCTAGTCTCAACTCTGTCAATGGCTTACTCTGTGAACAAGAGTTATGTAAGATCTAAGTTATAAAAATTGTATTAGTTATTTTCCATTTTAAAATGTCTACTTTGAAAGCTTAGTCTTCATTACCCAAACAAATTATAAAACACAGTAGGACCCTTTGAGATAAGAATACTATCAGCCCCATTTTATACATGGGGAAAATGAGTGTTGCAGAAGCCCAGTCAGAGGGGCCCAAAGTCACAGGACTGCCGTGAGGCAGAGCTGGGACTTGTATCCAGGTCATTGACTGCAAAAGCCAAGCTCTTAACTACACTGCAAGGGGGTCTCAAAAACACCCTCAAGTACAGGCAGATAAAGTAAGGGAAGCAGGTGAGAATGTGACTGAGGTAAACTGGAGAGCACATGTCCAACTAAAGGCAACTGCAGCCTGCAGCTACTCGGCTCCAAAACAGTATAGCCAGGCAGACATGTTGGAGGTGAGAAATGAGACTAGCTAGCAAGCAAGATATCTAGATTGTGAAATCATCTGATTTTTAAAATGTTTTAAATATTGGATCAAGTTTTTTTCTTTAAAAATGTCCATTAAAGTGAATAAGAAGAAAAAGAATCAAGTAATGCTAGCAAGGATATGGAGCAACTGGAACTCTCACACACTACTGGTGGGAATGCAAAAAATATTTCAGCCAATTTGGAAAATAGTTTGACATATTCTCACAAAGTTAAACACACACCACATTCAGCAGTCCCACTCCTAGGTATTTCCCCAGGTGGAATGAAAACCTATACTCACACAAAAATCTGAGCCCTAATGTTTTCAGTGGCTTACTCATAATCACCGAAAATTGGAAACGACCCAAAGGTCTCTCAATTAGGGAATGGATAAACAAACTGTGGTACATCCATCCAATGGAATACTACTACTCAGTATTAAAAAGGAATGAACTAGCAATACATGACACAACATGGATGGACCTCAAAAGCATTATGCTAAGCAAAAGAAGCCAGACTTCAGGGAGATCAGCTCGGCGCTTTGTGACCACCCAGAGGGGTGGGATAGGGAGGGTGGGAGGGAGACGCAGAGGGAGAGGATATGGGGATATATGTATACGTATAGCTGATTCACTTTGTTATACAGGAGCAACTAACACAACAGTATAAAGCAATTATACTCCAATAAAGATGTTTAAAAAAATAAAATATAATAAAATAAAGAATACAGACTTAAAAGGCTACACACTGTATGATTCCATGACATTCTGGCAAAGGCAAAACTATAGAGAGAAAATATCGGTAGTTGCTGAGGACCTGGGGTTGACTACAAAGGGTCAACACAAGGGAATTTTTGGGGGGTGATGAAATGTTGCATATTTTTATTGTGGTAGCAGTTACATGACTGCTAGTGTTTTTCAAAACTGCTGAACTATACATTCAAAAGAATGAATTTAAGTCTGTAAATTATACCTTAATTAAACAATGAGGGAAGTAGTTGACAGGTGAAAAAAAGCACCAACTCTATAAAACCCATTGATATAGATATATAACAAAACAATATATTTTCTTCACTGGTATGTGTGATTATTTTACAATATAAAGATAAGATGCCAAACTATTTGACACATTTAGAAAAAAGATAAGTATGATTTTAAGACCTACATCACGCTCAGTGAGATAAAATCTACGGCACTCTAAAACCAGATTAGACAAGAACTCCAAAGAAAGACATACTATAAAAATAGTATTTGGACTGTCCATAGGGAGTCAAGTTAAAGTATGCCCTTTATTGAGATAGCAGATACAAAAAAAAAGTTTTGCAAATAATGAAACACCCTACAAATAGTAAATAGAATCGTATGGTAAAAAGCACAAGTGTTAGGGTCAATCTGCCTGGCTTGACTCCTGTCTCTGCCACTTACTATCTATGTGACCTTGGACAAGTTACTTCAACCCTCTGAGCTTTATTTTTCTCAACTGTAAATGTAAAGTCCTCAAAGGGTTTTTGTAAAGACAAAATGAGAAAATAAAGTGCTTTTTGTAAAGCACTTAGCACTTAAGAAGTGCTAAATAAGGTACCTGTTACTAATTTATGTAATGTGGAAAATTTGAAGATTTTCATCTTCCATTTTGAATTTAATTGCAAATACTGGTTTCTTGCAGGAATTAGGACTACTCTAAAGTCATCAGAGGATTCGGAGATGCTGCTTAGAGTGGCAGCAGATAGGACAAGGGGGGTGGCCTGCAGTGGCTGGTCTTGTTACATCAGTCCTTTCTTTGGAACTTGACTGTTGGGCAACTCAGCAGGCAACTGGCCAGGCATTGTTAGCAGTGAAGTGCCTCTGCTGTGCCTGCACCTCCACCCCACCTCCTAAAGCAGCAGGAGACTCTAGCAGGCTAGGCTAGGGTGAGGTGTGTGAGGTGCCAGGGCGCAAAACATAAGGAGCCCTGATCACCTAATTTGCCTACCCTAGTCGGCCCACCTTCCCTCCAGTATTCTTATTTCCACATCGCTCCCAACTCATAGATTTTCCACATTCTTCCCTTCCTCAGGGGGAAAAAAATCTGTTTCTGCTTCCTTTCAAGCCTGAGAAGATGCACAGTTTAGTAACTAATCATTAGCCTTCACTATTGTTATTGTGTCCTAGATTATATATGTTTGCTACCTGTTGTGGATAACTTTCATTTTTGAAATAATTTAAACGCTGTTTTGTTTTGTTTTTTCTCTGTCAATACAGGAATCTCTCTTTGAAGGAATCTGAAAGCTTGCTGACGAAAAATGATGTATGTGAACCTCACCTTCTTCATAACTCAAAAGTAAAAAAAATGTGTTTGTAAAAAACCAGTAAATTCAGCCTTAAGCGATCTGAAACGTGTGACTCTTTACCTTTATAGTATTACTAGGCAACATCATCCTTTGTGGTTTGTAGTTTTATGGCATCTCATTATATAAGAAGAACCTTTTGAGTTCTTGTTTGATTTGCTTCTTTATAGAATCCGAAACAGTGCTTTCCAACTGCTTTATTCCTCATTACATACAATTTACAGGGGAAATAAAGGTGTGCTTTCTCATTCACCAAAAGAAAGTAATCCTTTTTTGAACCAATAGTATTTTGGTGTGCTTCTTTCTAAAGTGTAAATCGAACTACAGTTACTGAACGGGAATTGAGATGAAAACCTGAGGATTCTTTTGATTCACTAGTATACTTAAAGTGTGTGGAACTCTACACTCAAATACAATAAGTGCCACCATTACTATGCACTAGTCGGTAGCTCCAATTTTAAAATCTATGGTAAAGGATGAAATTATGTCAGGTATACAAGAACGGTTTCATTAATGCTATTTTAAATTCGATATTCAGTCTTGACCGCAAAGAAGGTGTTTTAACGTCCTGCTCTTCCCCACGCAGGCACTATTTTCAAGGATGGACTAATCACTGGGAAATACGGGGCGTCCGCTCAGACTTCACCTCTGAAGGCGATGGGTCCAAACGGGCAGAAGCCACAGAGGGTCGGGGGGTGTCCAGGGCCCAGGCTTCCTGGGCTGCTGGGAACGGGCCTCGCGGGGCAGCGCCCCCTTTTCTCAAGGAGGCCGGAGAGAGCCCCTCCCCGCACGGCCGCCGGCCCCGCTCCCCGGGGGGGCCACGAGGGCTAAACACTTCAGGCGAGTTCCCCGCAGGGAAACTCCAAATCCGTCCAAATAGCGAAACAAAGCGGGGGCCCCTGGGGGACGGGTGAGGCGCCGGAACCTCGGGGAGAAGCGACCGCGACTGGGGGAACTTCCTAAGGTACCACAGACAGTGGGCGCGCTCGAGCTAAGTGCAGTTTATCTCTGGGCGGCTCAGTAAACTGGTCACGGAATCCCGAGGGTGGAGGGACTACGCTTTAAGCAGTTAGGGCAGCGGGAGACATTTACCTTGTGGTAGAGTGAAAGGTGAGCGCCTCGAGGCGGCACACTCCACAGTTCCTCACAGAAAGTTACGTCACGCTCAACAAAACGGCCGCGTTCCCGCCTCGGCTCGGCGCCGGCCTGGAAGTGCCGGAGCTCAGACTGGGCCCGAGGCGGAAGGGCGGCAGCGAGGCGAGCTAACTTGCGAGGCCGCGCTGGGGTCCTACAGCCCAGACCGCGGCTCTGGCCCAGCCGGCCGCCAACCCCGCGGGCGCTGGACGTGCGGCTCTCGGAGTCCCGCCCCGGGGAGAACCTGGACGCGGAGGGGCGGGGCCAAGAAGACGCCCCGCCCCCTCTGGCCCGGCCCCTCCCCGCCGGACGGTTGCATTAATGACTCTCCCGAGGTGGACGGGCTGCTCGGAGAGGAGTGAGTCCCCAGCACGGCACCTCAGGTGCCTGCGGACGTCAGCTGGCCCTTCTGCGGTCATCCCACGCCGACCTTGGCCAGCACGCACGCCTCGCCTCGCAGGAGCCCGCATAAAAGGCGCGTCCGGCCCAGGCTGGAAGCGGCCGTAGCCTTCGGCTGGACGAGGATGGAGTGACCGGCGCGGTCCTGGCCACGCAGACCCAGCTCGACGCTCCTCGCCAGCTCTCGCAGCGGAGCCGAACCTCGTACGGCCGCTCCAGGAAAGGTGAGGGCCCCGGTCCGACCCCCGCCGCGCTGCTCCCGGGCCTGGAGGGGTAGCGGGTGCCTTAGTCCCGTGAGAGGCCACCGGTCCCCCGCTCCTCCGGCAGAAACTGCACTGAGCTCCTGCCGTCGCCCGTCAGGTCCCCGGGCCTCGGGAGCTGATGGTGCGAGGGCGGCCGGCGTGGGCACGGCTGGCCCTGGCAGGGCTTCCCGCCACGCTCCACGAGTTGACCAGCTTCATCTTTACTGCTGGACGGGCGGGATAGCGTTCCAGAAGCGCTAACAAGTTCCGAACCGGAGCTGTGCTTCCGAAATCTTTTTCCTTGGTAGCGTAGCCCTTCCGATTAATTTGTCGGCGGAAAGTAAAGCCGGCACCGCGCCCCTCCTCACCCTTCCAAGCAGCCCAGGAACACTCGGGCCCCACCACTCTCCCCAGACGCCGGGAGGCAAAAGCGCCCCAGTCAAAAGGTGCCCAACTCTGAGATCGCCTGGAGCCATGTCGGACGGCCGGGCACGGCGCGCAGGGGGAGCGGGAGGGCTGCGCCTCCCCGGGTTAAACTCGACCGGCGCCCCGGCCTCACCGCGCCTTCTGTCCTTTGCAGGGCGCGCGGCGCCGGAAGCCGCTATGGACAGCGGCGGCCCCGCAGGCAGCCACCTGATCGCCAGCAACGAGCCCGCGCCACCGGTAGCCGCCACCCGAGACTCGAGCCAGGGACGGACGGGACCGGGGCAGACGGGCCCAGGCGGCGGCGCGCGCTCGGGGGGCGGGAGGCCGGCGGCAGCAAACGCGGCGCGGGAGCGCAGCCGCGTGCAGACTCTGCGGCACGCCTTCCTGGAGCTGCAGCGCACGCTGCCGTCGGTGCCGCCGGACACCAAGCTGTCCAAGCTGGACGTGCTGCTACTGGCCACCACCTACATCGCGCACCTCACTCGCAGCCTGCAGGACGACGCCGACGCACCGGCGGATCCCGGACTGGGCGCCCTGCGCGGGGATGGTTACCTACACCCTGTCAAGGTAGGCAGGCAGGGCGCACTGCGGAGCCGAGGCCGGAAGCATGGCACCTTGACCGCGGGGTCTGCCCCCGCCTGGGCAGATACCTCCCAGCTCTCATCCCTCCTTCAGGGTGAGGCGGGGAACAGATCAGGAGAGCGACATTGGCCCGCGAAGGCACCCGTAGCGAGGTCCCCACTGCACAAGGCTGCTCCTTGACGGTTTGCAGGTAGAGGGCTTAAACCCGGGCTGGCTTGCGTAGGGGAGTCTCAAGCCCCTTATAGGATGCAACCTACAGGATTCCTTTCCTAGATGAGAAGTTTCTTGCGGGTGCCTGGTGGGGTGCTTGGTTGCACGTCCTGATAATTTTTAGTGTCCGAGTTACATTTATGAACCTTTGAGGGTTTTAAGTTTACATCGTTACCATTGTGGTGTTTATCAAATATTTGAAAAGTTTCAGGAATTAAACGGGGTGACGGAAGTATCTGCCCCTAACTAATCCTAGGAAACCAATGTTGAAAATTTTTTGTAAAGCTGGTAAAAACAAAAGGAGACGATTCTGCGTCCCCACACAGTAAATGTTCAGTCCGTTTTAATGAAGGTTAACGATCATGGACTAGACAACCACCAAGAATGTTAGAAAAACTATAATGAGTTTATGTGATTTTCATAATAGGTTGGCATATATGTTGTGTTCTGATTAGATATTCAAATTACATAATGTACAAAATTATCCAAGAGACTCCCTCTTGTATTTTTTTCATTACATATAGGTAGAGTGGTCAGGGTTTTTGTTTAATACGGTATATATGATTATGATTCATTACCTATATTGCAGTATTTAGACTCGCATCATCCTTTTCTCCTAGATTTGATTGTTTTCAAATCTTACATTGATCAGGTTTTCTGTTCAAAATGGATCACCTTCCCTATGTTTTCTAAAACTAAATATTCAAATTTTTGATTCCACCATTCTGAAGCATTCTCTCTCTCTTTCTCTCTCTCTCACACACACACACACACACACATACAAAATTAGGACTTTGCCTTAAGTATATCAATGTTCAATAAATTATTGAATAATCATTATCAAATTGAGGGTAAAGTACATCCTCTAATATTTACTGAACTTAAAATTCTGTGGTAAGGTTTAATAAATTTTACTTTGCACATTTAATCAACATGATGATAGACTCAAAATAATTCAAATATTAAGTATAAAAATTTGAAATATCATTTATTCATAATTATGATAGATTATTCCATTCCATTCATGTGTTGTATAACCTCAGCTGGAAAGTTATTCATTATTAATTAAGGGGTTTTGTATTACTATTGATATTAGATGCTACTAATCTGTTAATATTAGATTGATATTAGGTACATTAGATTGCTATTCAAATATATCATTAATATTAGATTTCTTTTGACTTGACATTATACTCTAAGGAAGTTTATTTTAACATTAAGTAGGCTTTAATACAAAAGACATCTGTTAAATGCCTCTTTGTGGGAGAGAGAAATCAGATGAGAAATCCAGTTGTTTTTCACCTTAGTTTCTTGCAGTGCTCTTTTGAATGACTAATGTTAAAACCATAATTTTCATGTAACAATAAGCTTAACAAGAGTTTTTTTGCCCTGACTCCCGTACCAAATGTTTTTGTAGTCATATAACTCTTTAAAGAAAAATTAAATCTCATTTGTCCTCTGAATTAATTATTTTCATTTTAAAATACAATTCTAGGGATAATGAAAGAAAGCCAAAGATTACCTCTTAAAAATGAAATTGATGATGGTTGAACAAGTGACTAGTCTATTTTAAAATCATTTACTGAGTGCCTGCTTTGTGCAAAGCACTGTTAGGAGAGTGAATGCAATTAAGGGTAAGACTCGATCCCTGCCCTAAATGAGCATATAATAGAGACAAAGACATAAATATAAATAACAGTATTATAAGAGAGAATGTAGTATGTGCCATGAGAGAGGCTATAACCATATGCAGTGGAGGTGCAGAGGAAAGAGATTTTACATACATAATTGAAACTGCCTGTGACACATTATTTTACAGAGACTACCAAAATGCTTAAAAATTAAGTCTATCATTGACTAATCTAATGCCAAAGAAATAAAGATATTCTGATTATTTGTACCTTTTGGTTTACATAGTTAAAGAGTGTTCCAAAATGACTTTTTCTGCCTTACAATGTAAGGGGGTCTTTACTTTGATCAAAGATCCATTAACAAGTATTTCAAGGCCATAATTTTGAATCATCAGTTCTTATTATCAGTATTGGGGATTTAGCACTGTTAGCATTGTTGGGAATTTACATTATGAGTACCTCAAATGAAACTGGAAGGTTTAAGAGACTGGAATCCCAGGGCATAGCCTAAAACAGCAGTTTTTATCCCTGTGGGATGTGAGCAGTTCTGATCAGCACCAGTGTCTGAAAGGGCAGTGCTTCTCCAAGGGAACAGGGGTATATTTCAGATACTTACATTGAAAGAAAAGCACAGATGGCTTTATTAATTGCATTACCCCTGGAGAATCATTGTTGATAATACAGATAAACAATAATTTCAAAAAATAAATACAAAGTTTTGTTATTTTGGAGTCATTTAACTCCAAAAACCAGGAACATATTTTTAGTCTTCAGTTTCAGGTTCAGTTCTGGTTACTTGTATGAGTTTGCTAGATTGTTCTAAGCTAATGAAACTACATAATTTTAAGTATGACTTACTAGGTAAAGTAGAGGTCAGGATTGTGTTAATCTACACAATGCTAAAACAGACCATTGAGAAGTGAAATGTAAATCAGTCACCTGGCTTTTTTGGCATGAGGCTGACATGCAACCTAACCAATATTGTATTTATATTTTTATTTCTGACTCCTAAAACTATGTATGTATCTACATTAAATTCATTTGAATAAAATCATTTGAAAACGTTTTGAAAATCCAGGGACACAAAGTTATTAAAAAGGGAAGTTTTATTAAGTCCATGAAAAATCAGGCAAAAATCCACATATACATTTTTAGATTTGCTTCATAAATTACTTACATACTAGCAAGGCTGTAAAAAACAGATGCCTTCACTTGCCTCCACTCTTGGTTGCATGATTTAGAGTGATTCTCAGTACAGTGGAACCCAGGTAACAGAACTAACAGGGAGCATTCAGCAGTATTTTTATTTTATTTATACTTAGATGTGTTTAATTCACATTCTCAAATTATTATCTACATTTTCAAATGTAGAATTCTCACATTACATTTGAGGTTTGAGCATGAGATTTTTATGCTCATGAAAATGTGGCAGGAGTGTAAAAGATTGAAAAGCACTGGTTTATAATATGCCTAAAATTCTGCACTTGAAATTGATGACCTATGCGCTACACTATTTGCTACATGTGAATATTAGTCTGCGCAGGCTGCAATAACAAAATACCATAGACTAGGTGGATTAAACAACAGAAATTTGTTTTCTCACAGTTCTGGAGGCTGGAAAGTCCAAAATCAAGGTGCTGGCCAATTCACTTCCTAGTGAGAGCTCTCTTCCTGTCTTGCAGCTGGCCGACTTAACTCTTTCTCAAAGAAGGGGAGCTCTCCCCCTTCTTAAAAGGCCACTAACCCTATCATGAGGGACCCACCCTCATGACCTCATCTAACCGAAATTACCTCCCCAAATATCATCGCATTGGGCGTTAGAGCATCAACAAATGAATTTGGGGAAACACAAACATTAAATCCATAATACCATTACACTAGATTTTTCAGTATAATGCAAGCCTTAAATCTGATCTAACAATGCCAAATCCAAACATATAAAAAAAATCCCAGGCTAGTTTCTAAAACACTTAATGTTACCAACTGGTAGCAGGGATCCCAAGAATAGGATCAACATGATATACCCAGAAAGTACAAGAATTCACATCTATGATTTAAAAAAACAAAACCTGAAATGGATTTGCAAAAATAAGTAACACAGTGTCAGTCTTATTACTGTATCAAACATAAAATACAAGTTTGTTTATAGGAAGATTATATAGGAATGGATCATTTAAATTCCAAATAACACAGATGTTATATTTAATCTGTGTTAAAGTGTAGATTCCCAGCAGAATAATCTGAATTTAGGACTCTTAAATTCACTTATCCCATCTGGAGAAATAAAAATCACATGCCTACTTATTATTCCTGTGGCTACATTTTACATCTGGAATCCCAGTTTAGGTGACAGTAACTGTATTCGGAAGTATAAGGAAGGCTTATATTATTCCAGATAAGAACTGACTCTACCTTATACTTCTCCAAAGAGGTCCATTCTGATTTAAGTGGCCTGGAGTGTGACTTGGCCATCAGTATTTTTTAAAGCTCCCATGTGATTCTAATATGCAACTTGTGTTGAAAACCCAGAGCTCTTACGGACTTTGGATTGTTAATAATTGTACCTCTGTTTGAGCACCGTGGATCATCTGCGAGGCATTTAAGAACATTTCATGGTGCTGTGTAACCAGCAGTCTGCCCATGAATGTTTGCTGGTGAAAAGAGCCTGCTGCTCACAGCAGCATTTACTCTCTGGAGAGTGTGGGACCCCACTGCTGACCTTTAAGAGTTGCACTCCTTTAGTCTAAGGACTTATCTTTGTATTAAAAAAAAAAAAAAGCACTATTTCTCTGATTAGTATTCCAAGGACCTTAGAACTAAAATTATATGACCCTCCTCTCTTAAAAAAAAAGGAAGTCCATCCTAAAAGTACTACCTATGTAGTATATTTTTTCATCATCGTGCCTGTTTGGAAATTAATTGTATTGTTTGAGAGGCTGTCCATTTTAAAGGTAAATTTAGAAAAGACACAATCAGAATACAAATGTGATGATTACTGAAAGGTTAGAGCTGTGTGATGCCACTACAAGCAGTCATTTAACCTGGATGTTCTAGCTATGTAACACCAAACATTCTAATATGTGCAACTTCAAGATAATTGCTTTTAGCTAGATAAAATGTTTAGATAGTCGAATTAGTCACTTTTCATTGTAGTCCTTTGACAAATGTAGATGCATAATACTTAACACATATAACTTTTTTTTTTTTAGTATTTTTAAAAAATTTTATTTATTTTTGGCTGCGTTGGGTCTTTGTTGCTGCGCGCGGGTTTTCTCTAGTTGCAGCACTCGGGGGCTACTCTTCGTTGCAGTGCGCGGGCTTCTCATTGTGGTGGCTTCTCTTGTTGCGGAGCACGGGCTCTAGGCGTGCAAGCTTCAGTAGTTGTGGCACACGGGCTCAGTAGCGGTGGCTCGCGGGCTCTAGAGCAGACTCAGTAGTTGTGGCGCACGGGCTTAGTTGCTCCGTGGCATGTTGGATCTTCCTGGACCAGGGATGAACCTGTATCCCCTGCATTGGCAGGTGGATTCTTAACCACTACACCACCAGGGAAGTCCTACATATAACTTTTAAAAATATTTTTAAAGCCAGGGATCTTGTTTTAGGCTTAATTTTGTTTTAGGTTTAGTTTAACATTAAAACATTGTGGGTAGATATATTTTCCTACATTTAAATATATTCATTCTCCATGATTTTTTGCAGTTCTGGTCCACATGCACACGTATTATTTCATATAATTATAATCAAAGTCTGGGTATGTTTTTACTTTTATTATTAGCACTAATAATTTTATTATTAGCATTATTTACTTTTATTATTAACATTTTTTCGTGTCATCACTTAGACTTCATAATTATCATTGTTACTAGCTACATGATATTGCATTTGCCTTGAGGTACTTGGAATTTTTAATATTACTATTATACACTATATCTGTCACAGATACTAACTTTTGGATTCTTGTTTAAATATTCTTTTTCAGAAATGGCCCATGCGATCAAGATTGTACATTGGTGCTACTGGTCAGTTTCTGAAGCATTCTGTCTCTGGAGAAAAAATAAATCATGACAATATTCCAACAGACTCACAGCCTTAGGCTCTCCCCTGAGGGGGGCTGGTAGAAAGTGATGTCGTTGTTTTTAAATGATATGAAATAATTCTATATTTATTACATCAGACCTAACAAACATCATTTCTGAAAGTTTACATGGAATCCATAGTTGGATGTTCAGATTTATCTAATCTAAATAAATGTGGAATGAAATAATCAGTCTGGTAAATAATGTAATAATAATGTAAAACACACAGCTTATCTATTCAGTGTGAGAGAGTCACTACTATATAGTGCAGGAGAAACTAATGGAAAAAAAGAAAGAGACATAGGAAAGCAAAGAATTGTGTATGTATCCAAAGAATACACACATTTTCTGTAGTATATCTGTTACAAACTGAAAAGCTAATATCTATGTATACAATCTTCCTGGTTTAAAAAAAATAAAAGCTGGGTTTGTAAAACACCAGTATTTCATTTTTGTGAAAACCAGTCTGTGCTTAATATTGGTCTAAGAAGCCGTTCCACTTGGAAGGTCTGAGATCATTTATTCAGTTTTAGCTGAATATGTGTGAAAAGACTGTTGAGGTAATATGACAATGCAGCAACTTCTATAACTATTTTTCCCTCTTAGAAAACTTGGAGTATTAGAAATGGTTTGCTTCCTAGGCCAGGGCTTGGCCACCTTCCTAGAGTATTATTAAATATCTTACTATGTTTCCAAATTGTGGAAGGCATTGGGAAACCCTGCAGCCCTGTGTGAACAGCAGACGGGTGTCACTGGGCAGCAGGGTTTGTCACCCTCCCCCTTGGTCACTCCATATCCACCCCACTCTCTTTCAGGTCCCGGACTAGGTAAACAGGTGCAGCTGTAGCCCTGTAGAGAGAGTGGCACATTCAGGCCTGTCAGGGGCCTCCAGCGAACCCCCGTGACCTTCACAGTCACAGCTTTGGCCAGGTCCCTTCTCCCCATGTCAGTTGCTGTTCACAGTCTACCTACTTGGCCCTTATGAAATGGGAGAAATCCTGTCTGATTTGGGAGTTCTGGCGCTGATCTGCACCTTGAGGGGGTCTGAGGACACAGAGTGGCCATCCTGTGATACAGGATGCCCTGATTTGGACCTACAAACAAGGAAAGCCCTCTGCTATGGGCCTCTCCCACTGCCCTGCACATGAAGTGCCCAGGGAGCAGCTGTTCTGCCTGACTGAACCAGTGCTTTCAGTTTCGCCAGGAGCCTGGGGGTCCTAGCTATGAAGTGGAGACATTTGTCAGGGAACACACTGAATCTCAGAACAACAGGGTGCAACAGAGACACCTGGAAAAAAAAAATCATCAGTCTCTTTTGTCATGTCTTTGCTGATTTAGATTCCCTTTTATCTCCCTTTCTTGTTTTCCTCCTCACTCTTTACTAGTCCACTGTCCAGGTGTAAAGTTCATTCATTTCTCGATAACCCACAGTTTTAAAGTTGCTGGGTTTCATCCAAGATTATTAAATAGAAATGTGTATGAATGGACTTGGTTGAATTAAGATAGCAGCTGAAACACCATTTCATTTTCTCCTCCGTTTAACTCCAGCTTTTGGCAGTGAAATGAAGTAAAAGACTATCTGAAGGCAAAAACTATCATTCAGTTGATTCGAGGATGATCATGTTTTGACTCATGTCTTATAGTTAGTTTGTAATTTTTATTATTTTAATGTGAATATACTCCTTGTAATGTGACCAAAGCATGTCTTTAAAAGAAAAGCCATACAATGAAAGCTGTCTACATATTAATATGTAGCAAAAATGTTTGTATATTTAAATATTTGTGAGTATATTTACCTACTCATATACCATTGAAAGGAATAAAAAGTAAAATGAGATGGATTCAGCCATTCACTATCATAAGTTATTGGAATAAAAAGTGCTAAGAATAATCTTTTATCTTAAGGTATGAAATCAGAACTTCTTTAAAGTTACCTGGAACGGAACTGTAAACACTAAATGTGATAGCAAGAATTTCAGAAAAAAATGGTTTTATCGCTAATAATCTATTTGGTTATAGTTGTTAAAGCATTTAACTGGGGAAAAATTATGACTATTGTTGAATTATCAGACTTTTCTAAATCCTCCTGTTAAATCATTAGTCATTGTCTTAAACAGTATTACTTTTTATTTCTTCTTGTCCAGTTACAAATGTTTTAATGCCAAAGAACTATATTTCTGTCATAGGTTTTCATAATATTTTATTAAATTGCTAAATATGCTAACAGCTTTTGGTAGGTTGGGAAATCTGAGGTGAAATTGCATATTTTCACCCAAAGTTTCCAAGGAGCATGCTGTTTTGATTAATGGTGCGTGGTCAAGATAAAGGATAAGATAAAATAAAGCACTAATTTGAAAAGTAATTTAGTCTGCTAAATTTATATCTGTCTCTATGGTCATTTAACAAATAATGAAGGTACACTTGAAAATCTTTCTAGAAGATAGATACCTACTTGGTATTAGCTTCTTCAGCATGCTGTCCTTAGTGAAGTATATATAATAGGGCGGGGAGGGAGGTATATTTGGATCACAGTATTATCCCATAATCTGCAAGGGAAGTTCTCACTTAAATTTCTGTCAGTTCATTCACCTCTCTCAGTAATAGTCACAAAAAAAAACATTTACAATTCCTCTATAGTGATAATTTGGAGGAATAAGGAAATACCTTTTTAGAAGCAGAACTAGTTCCAACAGACTTTAAAATATTGTTTCTTTTCCTGGTTGTAAAAATACTTGTAGTGCAGTTTATTGTATGTCAGTTATATATCAGTAAAGCTACATTAAAAAACTCAAAAATAGAACTACCATATGACCCAGCAATCCCACTACTGGGCATATACCCTGAGAAAACTATAATTCAAAAAGAGTCATGTACCACAATGTTCATTGCAGCACTATTTACAATAGTCAGGACATGGAAGTGACCTAAATGTCCATCAACAGTTGAATGGATAAAGAAAATGTGGCACATATATACAATGGAATATTACTCAGCCATAAAAAGGAATGAAATTGAGTCATTTGTAGTGAGGTGGATGGACCTAGAATCTGTCATACAGAGTGAAGTAAGTCAGAAAGAGAAAAACAAATACCGTATGCTAATGCATATATATGGGATTTTAAAAAGCAGTACTGATGAACCTAGTGGCAGGGCAGGAACAGAGACGCAGACGTAGAGACTGGACTTGAGGGCACGGGTGGAGGGGACGGGGAAGCTGGGATGAAGTTAGAGAGTGGCATGGACATGTACACGCCACCAAATGTAAAATGGATGGCTAGTGGGAAGCAGCCGCATAGCACAGGGAGATCAGCTGGGTGCTTTGTGACCACCTAGAGGGGTGGGATAGGGAGGGTGGGAGGGAGACGCAAGAGGGTGGGGATATGGGGGTATATGTGTACATATGGCTGATTCACTTTGTTATACAACAGAAACTAACACAACATTGTGAAGCATTTATACTCCAATAAAGATGTGAAATAAATAAATAAATAAAAATGGAAAAAAGAAAGTATATACGTACCTGTTTTAAAAAACAAACTTGGGCTTCCCTGGTGGTGCAGTGGTCGAGGGTCCGCCTACCGATGCAGGGGACACGGGTTCGTGCCCCGGTCTGGGAAGATCCCACATGCCGCGGAGCGGATGGGCCCGTGAGCCATGGCCGCTGAGCCTGCGCGTCCGGAGCCTGTGCTCCGCAACGGGAGAGGCCACAGCAGTGAGAGGCCCGCGTACTGCAAAAGAAAAAAAAAAAACAAAAAGCAACTTAATAACAAAAAGAAATGAAGTGGAAAGTAAAAGTCCCACAGTGGAGGTGGGTGTTTGGGATAGAGCAAAGGTGAGGATATCTGTTTCACATGTTACTTGGTGATAAAAAAAATACTGATTTTACATTTTGATAAGGGTTTTTTGACCCAACTACTTCAATCTGCAGAGTTACAGATATCCTAAACAGTAATTTTCTTATCTATTCATGGAGATTTTGTTTAAACTTAGAAGAAGCTGTACGAAATAAATAAATAAATGCTGATTGTCCTCACTGAAATACACAGTATTTTAGTTGAAATTGCTTTTTAGGCTAAATTATTCAGTAATTTATCCTTCTTTCAAAAGACCTCATTTTATATTCACAAAAAGCAACTAACCAGTTATTATCAGAGAGAAATTATGCAAGCTCTAGTAACATCTCTTTTTTGGTTTGGTTTGTTTGTTCGTTTACGGGGGAGGGGGAGAGGTATAGAGTTAATTCTATATATATTTTCCAGCAGTATTTAATCTTCTTCTTTAGTCCTCGGTGTGTCAATAGTGCCATTCTGAGGAAATAATCCAATACAGACAAAACATCTCTACCATGGCCAACATAATTCCCTTAGAAATCAACACATGAACTGTATTTGGCATCTTTTAAGACAAATTGCTTCCTGGCTTTATATAAAATTGTATTCTTAGCTGGCAGGGAGAAGAAATGATAAGTCAAACAGATTGCTTCTGATCCAAATTCATGTATTAGATACCTTATTTTGAGAGAGGGGTTTAATCTAAATGCTCTTTCCCAACTCTGTATAGCTCATTGCAAATTATATCAATCATGTAATTTATTTGAAAACCTATGAACTTCAACTCTTCCAGCATTGGCAGATTCTGTCTTAATCTGATGACAAACTCTTTTTTTTAAAAAAAATCATTGATGCATGATGTGATATCTACAGTTTCCCAGATGACTTACCACTAGTAGTGTACTATTGCTGTCTTTCTCCATGGTACACACTTTTGATTTTTTAGTTTTGTTTTTCTTGTTATTGTAACCAAAAATATACAAAAGCATAGATTCCAAATGTTTGAAAGGAGCACTAGGGGAATAGTATAAAATTGTATATCTCAAAGAAAATTAATATGTACTTTTATTTTGTTACATACTGGTGGCTCGTGGTCTTATACATGACTGTTTTACTGAAAAAAATAAATGCCCCTTAAATCCTATAGATTTGCTTCCTATAAACTTTGAGTACAGCACAGATGGTACTGCAGCACAGTTGGGAATGAGGGACATTAAATATTCTTGCCCAACTGCATAAACCTGGGAAAGGCTTCCCTTCCTATGTTTACACAAGTCTTAGTTTCAACTCATAAGAGAAACCAGCTCAGTGAAATATACCTCAATCACTCAAACTCTTTCATTATAAATTATACCACAGCATTTAGCTGTCAGAAGCTTTTAAATTATAAACTGAAGAATAATCTTAACTATTAGGCTTAAAGATTATGTCAATAGTCATTTCCTGTGCACATGAATGTTACTGAAGAAACACGCATTCCTGCCCTCTCAGGACCA